CGAGCACCTCCTCCCCCCCCTCCTTCTTCACTGACCTTGGTGTCGCAGAGTTGTTTCTCTCACATCATCTCACTCCTGTCTCTCAAATGCCATCTCACCACAGTTTTTTTTTACTTCTCCTTCTTAAACATGTTATCCCAGAGGCGCTACCACCGTCGCTGATGGGCTTGACCTTTGCCAGTGGCGGGTCCGTCTTGGAGCCGACCGGCCCTGGCTTTATCAGACATGGGGGAAGCTTCTCGCAGCTTCTCACAGAAGCCACCCCTATAGCCCGCTTGCTACCAAAACTTTACCACGTAAACCCATAACAGCTGTCAAAGTACTTTATTTACAGCATTTTCACTAGTTTATAAACATCTCCCTATGAAAACCTATTTTCCATTTATCTCAGTAGATGATGGTACCCAGCTTTAGCATTCTATTTTGTGGGGTTTTCTACCTTCATGTGTGTGCCAGGTGCTGGAAAAACAAATACAAATACAGGTTCTTGCCCTGCTGTGCATCCTCTGCAAGAGAGGACAGTAAGGAAAGGAGTTCCCAGCTGAGCAGTTGCATACCTCTTCTCAGAGCAGCCACAATGATTTTGTTATTGTTTTAGCTTTCCAACACATATTTCACCTGTGAAATTTTGAATGGATAAATCTTTTTCATGAGACGATGGGAGGGCGCTGTATGTTAAGCTGAAGTCTCTGACCCCTGCCATTTTGTGAATAAAAAGTGACAAGAAACCTCTTGCCTCACTCAATAACAAGATTAATCACAAAATTGATTTACCATTTCGTATGTCTTTATCTACATCAGGGTTCCCTGTAGGAACGTGTGCTCTATCAGTTAGTGAGAAATGCAGTGCAAATACTGGACAGGAATGCTGTTTCCAACCAGAATGCATTCCACCTAGAAATGGGTTTTAAGGCAGTTTAGACTATATTCCTGTACTTATCAGGAATGCATTATTATTAAATGTTACAGGTTTTATTCACATATTTGTTGCATCATGAGCTAAATATGTAAGAAAGGTGTCGTAAATGTAAATGGATTTTAAGAAGGGAGTCAGAATCAGTCCAGTCTCTTCCTGCTATACAGCACCGAATATCAAATTCAGTGTAATGACTGTCGAGGAGCTAGTCAGAGATGGAATGGCCAGCAAGTCATAAACAAGAGGTAAAAAAGGAGGGCCCTGGAGGGGACTGGGGAATTACTAGGAGTTATTATTTCTTCCCTGTTGCAAAGTCTGTCTTAAGCATTGTATTAATAGTATCGGTAGTAATAGTAATGTGTATCTCCAGGTATGCAGAACACCCAGAATACAGACAACATGATGCACACAGAGAGCCGAAGCAGACAAATGGTAGAGATGACATGACTTGTCTGATGTTGTGCAGATGTGTATAGAGAGCTGGTAGTAGTACCCACGTCACCCAAGTCCCTGTTTAGGTTGACTCCAATATAGACTCTATATGGCCTTCCGTCATCAGAGTTTATTTAATGGAGTTCTGTGCTTAGAATAAAATCCACCAAAAATGGTAGGTGGGTAGAATTTTAAGGATTTTGCCTCATCTCCAGCATATCCTAAACCTTTAGGTGTGTGGATTTGGATTCATCTTGCCAAACTTTAGACGTCTGCGCTGCAGTGGATGCTCCTAGTACATTGTTCATCAGGTCTGTTTCAGATGGTTACTTGGGGAGTGTAGAACTCATGCTACGACAGCAACTTGGTTAAAATGAGCTCTAGAAAACTGCTTCAGATGCAGAAGCCTACACAGTAGGTACCTTAATACTGGTAAAAGGAACCTCATCCCCAGTGCTAATTGCCGTCTCTAGAGTTTCCTAAACAACTCTCCACAGGGAGTCGTTATAGGCTCACAAAAATCCTGGTATGCGTTTTGTGTACTTAGCACCTATGTATTTTAGATATGGGTAAGGAGGTGAGCAAACTCCATTTCAGTCTGCTGAAGGCATTGATCCATTAATTGTGTCCTTGATTTCATGTATTCCAGATGGCCAACACAAGCACAACTATCATAATTTTCCTTTTTATAAACTGCTGTTGGGGGGAGCATCGGAGCTTAGCTGAAATGCTCTGGATACTCTGGTGGTGGCCAGTGAGTAATTTTTAGGGTTTATAATACTTTGTTTTTTCATCTCAAATAGATACTCATCAACATACTACATGTAGGAAATACATCATGAGTCAAATACCAACGACCAACTTGGGGGATGACACGTTAACCATGAGCCAGCAGTGTGTCCTTGTTGTCAAGAAGCCCAGTAGTGTACTGGGGTGCATTAAGAGGAGTGTGGCCAGCAGGTCGAGGGAGGTTCTTCTCCCCCTCTACTCTGCCCTGGTGAGGCCC